TTCCCACCAGCCGTGGAGAAGGAAATGATGCATTTTATAGGTGTGTAGATTTGTAAGCAATTTTCCCAGTATATCTAAAAGCTTTATAGATTATATTTACTGTTTGTGAAATTAATTCTTAAGGGCAGACAGATTTAACATGACGTAAGTACAAGAGACATATCTCAATTACTAATGTCATTGTCTCCTAAAAACTTGGATACAAATACTCTTGTTCTGATTACAAAGCTCCAGCCTCATAAAAAATAATGTGCCTAACATTTCCAAAAAGATGATTATGTATTATTTCTTTTCCCTTTGTTATTAATTTATGGTATGTCCCATTCACTAAGGTTTCTGAAGTAACAGAGTGTGCTCAAATTTTCCATTGTAATGCTGAGAAAAATCCCTTGCAAAATAATTACAATGACTTTGACACAAATATTACTAAAAGACATCAGCTCATCACTAGGGCTCACAAGTTAATAAAAGCAGGGGGAAAGGCTGAAATCTCTACCTTCACTTTGTGTCTTTATTCTGGGTAAAGACCCAGAGATACGTCACTGTCTTTCACTTTCCCTCTTAGGTTCCCTTCTTTTAATTATTTTTATTGCACCGTGTGTGTGTGTGTGTGTGTGTGTGTGTGTGTGTGTGTGTGCGCGCCCCCCACACATGCATGCCTGATTGCTCCAAGGAGGACAGAAGAGGATGTACGATCCCTTGAACTAGTGTTGTAGACTGTAATGAGCCACAATGTGGCTGCTGGGAATTGAACCCACGTCCTATAGAACAGCAGCCAGTGCTCTTACCTACTCAGCCACCCCTCCAACTCCTCTTGAACTTCTTGAAGGGAAAAACTTGAAGACAGACCGCTGCCCCTCTTCTGAGAAGACAAAGGCTGCAACTTGAAATGGAATTTATCTCCTATGGAAACAGATTGATTCTGTTAAAACTATGCCAGCTTGAGATGTCTGCCGAGCCAAACCAGAACTGAGGCAATGATCAACCAGACTACCTTAACCACTTAAGGCGCTTAATTATGCATACCCTTCAGCCGACTCCCTACCCTGTGCCTCAATTTGTCCTCTATTTAAATTTAAAGCTGAAGGCATCACCATGCCTTTAATCCCAACACTGGGGGGGGGGCAGGCTAGTCTGCCCCTCTTCTGAGAAGACAAAGGCTGCAACTTGAAATGGAATTTATCTCCTATGGAAACAGATTGATTCTGTTAAAACTATGCCAGCTTGAGATGACTGCCGTGCCAAACCAGAACTGAGGCAATGATCAACCAGACACCTTAACCACTTAAGGCGCTTAATTATGCATACCCTTTAGCCGACTCCCTACCCTGTGCCTCAATTTGTCCTCTATTTAAATTTAAAGCTGAAGGCATCACCATGCCTTTAATCCCAACACTGGGGGGGGGGCAGGCTAGT